CCACCACCCTTATGAAAACAAGTCCCCGGATCTCCAGGGTTTTGCTGCAGGAAGATCTCTAGGAAGGTGGGGCAGTGGGGCCCCTAGGGTTTCACTTTGCTTGGACGCTTCTCTCTCTCAGACAGTTGCTGCTGCCACCTCACTGGCCAATCAGGAACAAAGTCCTCCTCCTCCTCCACCCCTTAGTGTGGCAGATGAAGGTTGGGGATTCCCACATGAACACCCATTAAGGGAAGAGAAAGGACAAGGAGGCAAAGGAGTATTCGCCGACTGAAATACTCGGTCTTGTAGGGCACAGGGTGCTGGGTCATCCCAGGCCTGTCGAATACCTCCCTGCAGCCCCGCAATGCTCTAGGGGCTCCCAAAGGAGAAGCATGACTTCATGAGGCCCCTTTCTTGGGGCTTCTTCACCTCTACTTCTTGCCTGTCTGCATGTGGACGGTGGTGCCTTAAAACGAACTCAACCATCTTGACCTTTGAGGTCCATATCGACAGAAAAAGCCCCACTGTGCCACCTGCTTCAGGATTTCCATCCCTTCTGCTTGGAGGACTAGAAAAGACTTCCTCTCCAGGTGACAGATGACAAGGAAGCCCCACCCCATGCACCCAGACTCAATAGAGTAATAGTCCAGAGATTCTAGCATCACTTCCATCCCATGACGAGGGGTTGCAGAAGGTCACTGGTCCCAAGTTTACTCTGAAGCCCCATACCTAGCATTTGCAGAAACTGGCTATATTGGGGCCAGGATGGGAAAGGGCAGTATTTCTGAATCCAGTCTTTATTGGGGAAAACAATAAATGCAATGGTCCCTAAAGTTATTATATATTCTTATGACTATTCTTTAATAAAAGAATCTTTAATTTGCAGGCATGTAGGGCCAACCCAATGAGCCTGCCCTTTCAATAAGAGCAGTCAAGGCAGGAATGGGGGGACTCCCATCCATACTAGGGATCGGAGCCAGAGTTCAGTCAGCCTGGGCCTCAATCCTACAGAATGCTCTCTCTGGACTCATTGTAATCGGGAGGTTACGAGCCCAGGCTTTCAAGTTTGTAGGACCTAACACCACACCCTCCATTTATCAGCCCTGGAATTCTGCACGGGCTGCTTGACTACTCCGTGCCTTCCTTTTTATTTTATTTTATTTTATTTTATTTTATTTTATTTTATTTTATTTTATTTTTATTTATTATTTTTTTAATTTTATTTTTTATTTTTTAAAATTTACATCCAAATTAGTTAGCATATAGTGAAACAATGATTTCAGGAGTAGACTCCTTAGTGCCCCTTACCCATTTAGCCCATCCCCCCTCCCACAACTTCTCCAGTAACCCTCAGTTTGTTCTCCATATTTATAAGTCTCTTCTGTTTTGTCCTCCTCCCTGGTTTTATATTATTTTTGTTTCCCTTCCCTTATGTTCATCTGTTTTGTCTCTTAAAGTCCTCATATGAGTGAAGTCATATGATTTTTGTCTTTCTCTAATTTCACTTAGCATAATACCCTCCAGTGCCATCCACGTAGTTGCAAATGGCAAGATTTCATTCTTTGTGATTGCTGAGTAATACTCCATTGTATATATATACCACATCTTCTTTATCCATTCGTCCATCGATGGACATTTGGACTCTGTCCATACTTTGGCTATTGTGGATAGTACTGCTATAAACATAGGGGTGCATGTGTCCCTTTGAAACAGCACACCTGTATCTCTTGGATAAATGCCTAGTAGTGCAATTGCTGTGTCATAGGGTAGTTCTATTTTTAGTTTTTTGAGGAACTTCCATCCTGTTTTCCAGAGTGGCTGCACCAGCTTGCATTCCCATGAGCAGTGTAAAAGAGATCCTCTTTCTCTGCATCCTCACCAACATCTGTTGTTGCCTGAGTTGTTAATGGTGCCATTCTGACAGGTGTAAGGTGGTGTCTCATTGTGGTTTTGATTTGTATTTCCCTGATGATGAGTGATGTTGAGCATTTTTCATGTGTCGGTTGGCCATCTGGTTGTCTTCTTTGGAGAAGTGTCTATTCATGTCTTTTGCCCATTTCTTCACTGGATGATTTGTTTTTTGGGTGTGGAGTTTGATAAGTTCTTTATAGATTTTAGATACTAACCCTTTATCTGATATGTCCTTTGCAAATATCTTCTCCCATACTGTCGGTTGCCTTTTAGTTTTGCTGATTGTTTCCTTCGCTGTGCAGAAGCTTTTTATTTTGATGAGGTCCCAGTAGTTCATTTTTGCTTTTGTTTCCCTTGCCTCTGGAGAGGTGTTGAGTAAGAAGTTGCTGCGGCCAAGATCAAAGAGGTTTTTGCCTGCTTTCTCCTTGAGGATTTTGATGGCTTCCTGTCTTACATTTAGGTCTTTCGTCCATATTGAGTTTATTTTTGTGTATGGTGTAAGTAAGTGGCATTCTTCTGCATGTCGCTGTCCAGTTTTCCCAGCACCACTTGCTGCACAGACTGCCTTTATTCCACTGGCTATTCTTTCCTGCTTTGTCAAAGATTAGTTGGCCATACATTTGTGGGTCCATTTCTGGGTTCTCTATTCTGTTCCGTTGATCTAAGTGTCTGTTCTTGTGCCATCTCTGCCTTCCTTTTCTCATCTGCAGTATGGGAATAATCATATCTTCTTCGTAGGAAATAGAAGTTAAATGTGATACAGAGTTTAGCACAGTGCCTGGCACACAGTGTGCTTGCTAAATGGCAGGTACTGTTGTGGAGTGGTGCAGAAGCAGGCCATTCCAAGGAGCAGGGCCTTGACAGAGAAGGCCCAGAGATGGGACATGATGGGGCATCAAGGAAAGAAAAGGCCAGGAGGGAAGAGACTGCTCCTCTTCTCTCCTCTCCATAAAGGCCACTGCTGCCTCTGTGGGCAGGGAAACTAGGAAGTCTGAGTCAGGCCTCTTCCCATCTCCCTGGCTTCCATCATCCCCGTGGGGAGATGACCTAAATCTTTCAACCTCCATGCCAGGATGTGTCAGGTGCCTGGAACTGGTTGAAGAAGGGCTCCCCTGTCTGACCCTGTGCCCTTCCCAGAGCTGAGGGGTAGAGCCCACAGGGATTCCGTGAACAAGTGCCGAGATGGGTAGCATGCAGCCAGTAGGGCCTGTGGACCCCTCTCCTCAAGGTGCCGTGGAGAGTGGAGCTGCATCCCCCGCTCGGAACCCTTCCCCAGCAGGTGGGCGCCTGGTGGGGCCAGATGCTATGACAGATTGCAGAAGTTTTTCTGAGTTTATAGGTTTTAAAAGGTCAGGCTCTTTGGTGGTAAAAGTTTCAGAGACCAGTAAAATTTACTGGAAGAGACGGGAGACACGACTGAAAGTAAAAGGCTGCAGCCAGGAGTCTAAGGGATCTCAGCTCCATCCTCTAACGGGCTGTGGGAACGGAGGCAAGACACAGAGGCTTTCTGGGCTCTGTGTTTTAACCTGGAAAATGGGAGCAAGCACCGTGGTAAGGGGCAGGAGGGTGTGCGCCCCCATGAGCCTGGGCTCTTCACCGCCTGATTACACTGAGTCCCAGAGCCCTCTGTAGGATTTAAACCCAGGTTGATTGATTGAATTCTGGAAAGTGCCAAGCACAGGCGTGACTACAGTCCTCCTGGGCACGGTGTTGGGAGCAGCTGGACACAAAGCCAAGGCACAGGCCTACAGGTCCTGCATCCTCAGGGCTTTTCATTACCCACCCTGGGCCGCTGCCGTCTGCGTGTCTGCCTCTGCGCCCCCGGAGGAGCCCGGCCGTCTGCAGGCAGAGCTCCGGAATCAAATTAGCCAGGCCTCTGCTTTTTCCCTCGTCCCCACCGGCCACGGCGAGTTCATCAAGGCCGCTCACTAATTTTTATCTTGTTTAAAAGGGACAAAAGTGACTCCACAGTTTCATCGGAGGCAATTTACACCCCGCCACTGGCCACAGCTCCAACTACCCCCTGTCTGCTGTGCCATCAAATCCATTAATAGGAAATTTCTTTGGGGGAAACTTGACTGATGCTCCATCAGAGAGGCACAGAGGCAATACATCTCCATTCGAGGCCGTGGCCTGCCCGGCTCGCTATAATCCTATTACCTAAAGCTAATTCCCTAATGCACACACTGTACCAAGACATTCTCTTCCCTCCCCAGCACAGTTGGGCAGTCCCAGAGGATTCCAGGAGCTCAGAGCAGAAGTGAAGGCTTGGGGCTCAGAGGACAGGGTCTCCAGGCTTTTTGGTTGCTCCCTGCCCGGGGCTTGGCATGTGGCCTTGGCTGGCCCTCCATTCCACAGCAGTGGAGGGTCAGTCACATTCAGGCCACCCCAACTCCACGGCTCTGCCTCTCCTGAAGCCTTCTTTTCTTTTCCTCCCTCTATTTCCCTCTTTTTCTTTCTCCTTTTCTCCTTGCCTTTTACTGCTAGCTTCCTTTTCTTCTCCGTTTCCTGCCAATGTTTTCTTTTCTCATCTTCCTTTTCCTCTTCCTTTTACTTTTGCCTTCTCTCCCTTCTTCTCCAGATCCCTCTTTTCCTGTAGTATTACCTTCTGTTTCTTTGCACCATCTTCTTGCCCCCCTCTCCCCCACTGCTTGGGGACCATGCCCGCACAAGTTCAGTGCCCAGTGCTTCTTCTTGCTGTCTGTCTCCAGGTGGCTTGGCTCTGTGGAAGGAATGGGCTCCAGGCCACACTGGTCGTGGCTTGGGGCAACAGGTGAGGGACTGCCTTGTGGGTATGCGCAGGGAGCCCCAGGGAGGACAAAATGGGGCATTCGGAGGCAGTGGTTAGGACATGGAGGGGAGCGGCTAGGTGTTGTTTGTTCTTTAATGATGCAGCAACTGTAATGGAAACCCCAGTGGGTTACTGCTAAGCACCAAACCTGGTAACGGCCATACGAAGGGCCCCCGTCAGTGAATGGTATAATGCTTGTTGTAGATTTTATAATGCGCGTAAACAAGAGGAAACATCCTTCTAGAAATTTACAGCAGATTTCTCAGTGACAATGAGAAATGAACATGAGCCTAAGAATCTTTGTGTATCACTCCAGATGCTGGGCTTGAAGATGGATTTAGGAATCCACAAATGCCCTTCCTGAGTTTGAGCCCCTTCAAGACCTCAGCCTGGACGCCTGGGGACAGCCTGGTTCTTCTTGCCTTGTCCTGCTGTCAAGCCTGGATGTACTCGTTCTGGAGTGGAGGTGCCTAGTTTCTCCTATTGTACCGCGTGTCCTCATCTCCATTCCTCCAAAAGGAATTCCTGGAGATGATTTTCCATGTTTTATCTGGATTGTGCAGTGAGGAAGCACACGACTTCAGAGAAGCGTAGCCCGATCTCCTTGAGCTGGACCAAGCGTTCCGGCACCAAACTCTGGCTAATAGCCATCCAAAGGGACTCCATCCGTGAGTGTTAAATGCTAATGCAGATTTCATCATGCACACGAATAAGGGGGGAAATCCAGACAAAACCAAAAAGGACTCGGCCCTGACCAAGGTGATTTTTTTTCAACCATGACAACTGAGAAAATTCTTCTTTCCCACAGTGTTCCCAGCCTATGCCACACTTAAATCCAACTGGAAATGGAATTGAAAGGAATACAAATATTTGTGGTTGAGGCTTGCCATGATTTGATACAGGTGTATCTTGCTTTTCACACACTCGAGGCAAAGAAGTCTGCTTCTACCCAAACGGTAAAGTGGGAGTGAGATTCACTCAAACAGAAATTCCCAGCCACACTCTTCTCTGACAGTTTTTTTGGCACACAGCTGGGTGTCTGAGGAACAGATCCTTTCCTATTCGACTGACAAAGGAAAAAGAAACCCTTGTTTCAAGAAAACGTTTAAAAGCAAAGTATTGATGGGGCACCTGGGTGGCTCAGTTGGTTGAGCATCTGACATCAGCTCACGTCATGATCTCATGGTTTGTGAGTTCAAGCCCCACATCAGCCTCACTGCTGTCGGCACAGAGCCTGCTTCAGATCTTCTGTCCCTCTCTCCCTCTGCTCCTCCCCTGCTCAGCCTCTCTCTCTCAAAAATAAATAAACACTAAAAAAATTCTTAAAAGGAAAGTGTTGACAATGTTCATGAAATGGTATTAATAAGCAAAGGACAGGATGGGATGCAAAATTATATGTACAATGTATTTACTTCATTGTACACATTATAACAGAAAATTATAGAGGAATAGATATCAAAATATTAACAGGGGATGTTTCTGGGTAGTGAGTAAGCCCATGGATGATTTTAATGTTTCTTCATATTTTTCTATAATAAGCATGTATTATTGTATTCTCTTTTTTAATTAAAAAACTTTTTTAATGTTTATTTATTTTTGAGAGAGAGAGAGACAGAGAGACAGAGCACAAGTGGGGAAGGGATAGAGAGAGAGGGAGACACAGAATCTGAAGCAGACTCCAAGCTCTGAGCTGTCAGCACAGAGCCTGATGCGGGGCTTGAACCCACAAACCGTAACATCATGACCTGAGCTGAAGTCAGATGTTTTACTGATTGAGCCACCCAGGCACCCTTATTATATTTTCATAATACATGTTATGGGGGTGCCTGGGTGGCTCAGTGAGTTTAGCGTCCAACTCTTGATTTCGGCTCAGGTCACGATCTCATGGTTCGTGGGTTTGAGCCCTACATCAGACTATGTGCTGTCAGTGCTTGGAGCCTGCTTGGGATTCTCTCTTCCTCTTTCTCTGCCCCTGCTCCCCTTGTGCTCTCTCTCTCTCAAAAATAAATAAACTTAACAATAATAATACATATTATGTATATGAAACAATATATAAATATATTTGCTTAGTATAAATTACATATACAGGTTACTACTTAAATATTTAAATTTAAATATTTTGTTGAGAAAAATAAATATTTTGATGAGGACAAAAGGACAGAAGTAACCCCATGTGGTAACCCAGGTCCCTTCCTCTGTGTGCAGAGATGCCCGGCCCCTGCTTAGGAAGGGGAGTGAATGAATGGCACCCCCTGCTCCCGCCGCACCTCCCCCTGCCCCAGCCCCATGCTACCCAAGCGTACTAGCCATGGGACATAAATGAAGGTAGCAGCCCAGGGCCACTCCCAGCAGACAGGCTGCACCCTTGCTCCAGGAGCCCCTGCAGCGGCCCCCAACCCCCCAGCCCCCCACCCCAAGTTACTCCTTGGAGCATTTGGCCCAGCCACCTGGCTGAAGGGGCGGACTAAGTCCTGCCCCATGACATCAGCTGGGCGGCCTCCCCTCTCACTGGCTCCCTCTCCTTCCTTCCCGCCCTGAAACCTGATCCGGCTGAGGGACTGATTGCAGGAACTTGGCGACTGTCCAGCCCTGGTGGCCCCTCAGCAGTGGGAGGCTGCAGCCTCAGAGGTGTGGAAGGCGGCCCTGAGGAGGCAGGCCGGCTGGGACATGAAGCCGGCAGAGTGTGGGCAGCCTGCTTGTCAGCACGTCTTACCCTGAGGCCACTCCAAGGCAGCTCACGCCCGGGGAAAGTCACCATGCTGTCGTGGGTGCCACGGGTCCTGCTGGCCTTGCTTCTGCCCACACTCCTGGCACATGGACAAGGTAAGGGGACGGGTGGGAAAAGATACGGGACATGGCTGGCCACCTGCAGAGGTCGGGTAGGGGATGTTTGATTCCCCCAGGGGTTGAGGGAGGGAGGTTTTCAGAGTGGGTGCTGCTTCGGGAAAGTCAGGGATCTTGCCACATCCGAGCACAAGAATTTGAAGGCACTATGGTCCAGCTCAAAAGCAGGGGTGGTGGAGTGCCAGGTGAGGGCAGGGCTTGCCGAGAGGGGCTCCTGTCTTCTTTGCCCTGCTCCCAAACTCATGGAACAGTAGCTGCAAGGGACCTTGGACTTCATTTGGTCTACTCCTTCTTGTTATAAATGGGACATTTATAACCCCAGAGAGGGGGCATAATTCACTCAAGGTCACACAGCACATTAGCAACAGAGTGGCGACCAGAACCAACCTCAGCTTCCCTGGTCTTGTTGCATGGGCTCCCTGGGCCTCCTTTCCTCAAGTTCCCTTCCAGAGCTAAACTCTAATAACCCCAAACTTCTCTGCATTCCCCTACCCTTTCCTCCTGCTTTCCTGGGATATGAGGTGTTTGGGTCACAAAAGGATTTGTTTCCTTTTGCCACAAACAATATTTATTTCCTGTTTTGGAAGGTTTTTCTCCCCATGCAGAGCTAGGTTGGGAGAGCTGGGGCACAATTAGGATGCCGTCCCAGGGCTGAACAGAGAGGAAGAACTGAGATGCACGTGCGTGCTGGCTTTCCTGCCTTGAGCTGTCCCTGTGGAAGCTCGGCAGGACCAACAGACCCAGGAGGCGTGTTAAGGCTGTGGCTCGGAGCTTTCTTGGCCGAGGAGAATTGCTGTCCAGTCTGGCTCCCTGCACACCGGTCCGTTTCCCAGCAATAGACTCAGGGCTATTGCTTGCGTAGTGAAGACACAGAGAGATTTGGATCTGAATCTCATTTCCCCCACTTGCGGGGCACAGTCTCCACCTTTCTGAGCCTTGGGGACCCTTATCTGGAAACTGTGCTGTCATGACAGCCGCCCCCATGGGCTGCTCGAAGATTGAAATGAAGAATGTGTTAACTGATATTATTCCACAGGAATAAGTGGTCTCTTGTCCTCCCCCTCTCTCTGCTCTTCTCTGTCCTTCGGAGGGAAGCTGAAAGTTTACCTGGGAAAGTGGGTGGGGAGCAGGAAGGGGGATCTGTAGCAGAGATTTGCCCACATTATATAGACAAGATGCGAGAAGAGGCAGCCTTGTTTGGAGAAAGTCAGGCCCACTGGCACCTGGTCTGTGGAAGACCCCAGAGGCACCCTGCTAGTCCCCTAACAGCTTTGCCCCCTGTGCCCTGGTCCTCTAGGGTTCTCGCATTCCTTACCCTATGACTTTCACCTTCTTTTTCTTGGCACCTTTCAGGAAGTGCTTCCGCTATTTCCCAGAGGGGTAACAGGTGCACGTGAAACCCCCATAGAATGGGGTGAGGACCTCAGAGTTCGGTTTTCTCATCGCCATTTTGTCCTTATAGGTCTCCTGCTCTGGGAACAATTCAGTTTCTCCTCACTTCCTGTAACCTCACGTCTAACCCTCTTCCCAACCCACCAAATCTGCCCATAAATCAACCCTCTGGAGGAGACCTGCCCCCAGGAGTTTGTGCGTGCATGACTCAGAGGGGAGGATTTCGCAGGAAGGAATGGCAGCTTTCACGGGATGCCTCCTTTCTTTCTTTGTTAATAGGAGGCTGGGGTCAAGGAGCCGACGAGGATCTGGCCAGACGCTGAGGTCTGACCTTGACTGAGGCAAACCTTCATGCAGACCTTTGGGCTTACAGATGGTGTACTTGGGGCCACCTTCCCTTGCAGCCCCCTCTCCTTCCAGTACCCATCCCGAGGGCCACTCCTCCTTAGCTCCCCAGCTCCCCTCCTCTGTCTCCTGCAGACCACCTCCTCTGGGCAGGTACCTGCTCAACCTTTCTCAGCCCCTGGCCCACTTAGACCTCACCTGTCTTATATCACCTGCGTTTACAGCCCAGCTCCCCTCTCTCATGGAAATGAGTGTGTAGGTTACCCTTAGGAGACAATACCTTCAGATTTGGGCAGGAATCTCTGTGGACAAAACATTCCAGTGACGGGACTTTCAGTCTGTGGAAGTATCTGGGACTCTGGGGTGAAAATAGTGGAGGCATTTTCCTTTTAATAGCCTTCAAACCAGGCCAAAAGATGGGGGAAGCCTCAGGCTCTGATGCCCACTTTGCCCTGTTCTTCCTAGCCAGGCGCAGGGAGCACCCCCAGGCTCAGAACACCTCTAGGCCTGCTCTGCTGAGGCTGTCAGATTACCTCCTGGCCAACTACCAGAAGGGCGTGCGGCCCGTGCGGGACTGGAGGAAGCCAACCACCGTGTCCATCGATGTCATTGTCTATGCCATCCTCAGCGTGGTGAGCACTAGGCCCCAGTCTGCCCCACTCAGAGGTGGGCCTTTTGGGGTGAGAGACCATGTAAGGCCGGGTCACTCCCTGGGCAGCACAGGGGACATTCAAGTACCCAGAGTACGTGTGATCTGGCACAGACCCGTGCCAGGCTGGACAACAGCACCGACCGTCTACAGAGCTGCCCAAACCAGAAAACCAGGGTCACCTCTGTGGCTGCCTCTCTCAACCCCTATTCCTAGAGGTCCACTTACCACATGTGGTTCTTCATGCATTGTGTCATGGTAACCATGTCCCCACATAAGCTGTCCTGTTCATCTGTCCTATTCATTTCTAGGCCCTTGGTGTCTGACACGGGCCCCTGATACATGACAGGTGTTGATAAATGATTGTTGAACAATTAATCCTAAACCAATTGATAAATCAATTCCTTCATCAATGACTGTAGTAGGGTGGGGTGCACTGCCTGGTGAGGAGGTCAGACGTTGTGCAGAGATAAACAAGAGAGCAGTTGCAGAGATAGAGAGCACCAGAGCAAGCAGGACCTGACCTCACGGTCTCTACTGCAGCCCGTGTGGCTGTTTCGGGAAGCAAAGCTGGGAATTAGTTGGGAATGAGGGACAGTGATGAATTCTGGACTGTGTGTTTTTGCATTTCTTGACTGCATACTAGGGTGGGAGGGAGATACAGGTGTAGATATACAGGCATACAAATATGTAAAAGTGTATAGATATAGGGGCATCTGGGTGGCTCAATCAGTTGAGCATCTGACTCTTGATTTCGGCTCAGGTCATGAACTCACGATTTGTGGGACTGAGCCCCATGTTGGGTTCCTTACTGACAGCACAGAACCTGCTTCGGATTCTCTCTCTCTCTCTCTCTCTCTCTGCCCCTTGCCCACTGGTATGCATATGTGTCCTCTCTCTCTCAAAATAAATAAACATCTAAAAAATACAGATAGATAAAATATTTTCTATATGTCTTCTCTTTTTAAAAAAAAAATGTTTATTAAAAAAATGTTTATTTATTTTGAGAGAGAGAGAGCACGAGCAGGGGAGGGGCAGAGAGACAGAGGAAGAGAGAGAATCCCAAGCAGGCTCCACACTGTCAGCACAGAGCCTGACTCAGGGCTCAATCCCACTATCCATGTGATCATGACCTAATTCAAAATCAGAAGTCAGACACTTAACTGACTGAGCCTCCCAGGCACCCCCTTTATGTTTTCCCTTATCTTATATGTTACGTATATTATATATGTAAAATATATGTGTCATAGAGACATATATATGTATAACATAATAGAAAATAGTAAAAGATGATAGATAGATAGATAGATAGATAGATAGATAGATAGATAGATAGGAAATTAAAAAAGAAACAGTTGTATTTCTTCCTAGATGTGTCCTAGTCAAAGACCAACCAACTCTTCCTGGTTGGCCCTTTTCTCTTTTTCTTCACTACCTCTTCCCGAAGGAATAGGGACCCAAAGCAACAGCTCCTCTTGGGGTACGTGTGCAAGGTGGACGTCCGCCCACGGGGCACTGACGCTGAGCCCTCTTTCCTTTCACAGGATGAGAAGAACCAGGTCCTGACCACCTACATCTGGTACCGGCAGGTGAGCGCCCACCCCCATTTCCTGGGACGGGATCTTCCCCTTCCAGGAAGGATTCCTCAAAAGAGTCAGGAATGCCAGAGGCCTTGGTGAGGGGAGGGGGGAAGAGGCTCAGAGACAGACTCAGGAGACCCGGGAGTCTGGGCCCCTCTCCTCTCAGGACTGGAGATGGAAGGAAGCTCCGTGCTCAGCGGAGGAGAAATCCTCCAAACCCCCTCTGGTTTCCGAGTGGTTTCACAGCATCTCGAACAACAACTTGTCTGGTCTCTGTTGATAAACACCTCCAGTGCCCAGTTGCTCAGCGGGAAGCTACCGCACGTTTAAACAACTCTAATCGCTAGAAAGTTCTTCCTTCTATTAAGCCAAGGGTGATGACAATCAAATTGGGTGATTGACACGGGGCAGTCCCATCCACCGAGTCCTCACACCCTCAGCCACCTCCCAACTCTCCAAGCTTCTGAGGGACATCGCTCAGCCACTGCTGAGAACGTCTCTGAGGCCTTCCAGGCCTTCATGTGGCCCTTCCGGCAGCGGGCTGGTGGGGAGCAGGGGTGGGGGGCAAGCCGGTAGAGAGCTGATGGGGAGCTGGCTGGGAGCTGGAGGGGAGCTGGGGGAGAGCTGGTGGGGAGCTGGTAGAGAGCTGATGGG